TTTTTTTTTTTTTTTTTTTTTGGTGAAACACACATCGGTATGTGATGCGTTCGATCGTGGCAGTGACACGAAGACGAACCGGCGATTCGTCCCGGCCTGCCGGGAGCCGGGCGATAGTAAAATACGAGTCGAAATTTTTTATTTGAACACGCGTTTCCGATGGAAACGAAAATAACGAAAACGAATGGCGCACTGAGTCTCAATTTCTGCCGCGGATCCCCGCGCGCCGTAACTTTCGATCAAAAAAACCCGGCCAATTTTTTCGCCATAATTCAAGCCGATCTTTCGCGGATCCGGTCCGAGTCCGACCGCGCGGCCGGCGCCCGCCCGACTAATTCAGCCGCCCCGACTGATTCTGTAAATTTTTGCCGATGCACGCGCCGGCTCGCCGCGTCGTAAATTCCACGGGATTCAATTAACCGGCGCGCGTTCCGCGCGAATTTCATCCGCGTCGTTAAGCAGTCGCGCGCACTCGCGTTCGCCGATTTCATACGCACACACACACGCGCGCGCGCGCGTGTACAATTTTCAGAAGAAAATTCGAAAAGAAAAGAAAAGAAAGATAGAAAGCAAAGAAAGACGAAAAGCAAGGAGAAAGGAAAGAGAACGAGAACGAGATTCGTCGTTTCACTCGTTGAGCCAAACAGCCGAGATTTTAACCATCCGTGACGCTTAGCGTTGATTCCAGTCGATTGGCAACTGATCCTCATCATCGGTGGATTGGTCGTCTGCGTGATCCTGATCGGCGTGATCATTATACTCATTCTACAGTGCCGCGACCGCATCAAACAGCCACGGCCGAGGACTGCCCAGACCCAGGAGACTGATATGCGTGAGTGGAATACCATGTTCCAATGAATTATAACCGGCTGTTAGTCACGCCGTTTTTCTTTCACATTGTTTTTTCCTTTTTTTTTTTTTTTTTACTTTTCTTCGTGACTCGCGATTTCGTCATTTCCATCCAGGCGCGAATTCTTTCCGCTGGCGAGAAAGAGCGAGACACACGAAGCGTTGTCGTTCGTTGGTCTGTCGTTAACGACGCGGAAAAACGATGGAAACATAACCGTCTATGCCGGATGAGGGATAGCTCATTGAATGCAAACGAGTCGAATATGTTCCGCGCCGGTGTCCGGAACGGCTTGGGTGGAGTCGACGCGCGACATCCAGTCGGTCCTTCGCCGCCTTTCTAAACCGTTTGTTTATCGCCGATCCAGCCGATTCTTTTATCCGATCGATTACACGCTTTGTAGTTTCGCAACGTAGTTATCCATCCGGTGGTAGACAGAGAGAAGTATTTGTACTTGGTATCGTAGTACTTGGCACCGATTGTTCAAGCATCGTTTTCCCGATCGTGGCCGACGATCGACTCCACCAGCTATTTGATTATTCTTCAGCGATTGCAATCCGTGACAGAGACAGAAGGGGCGGGAAAGAGAAGGGAAAGTGAACGCGGCTTTCGGCCCTGGAATCTCGCGTTGTTGTTGCTCGGTGTGGTGTGGCGTGGTGTGGCTGATTTCTTTGAATTTCTTTCGCCGACAGAGGAAACGGATTCGAACGCGGACAGATATCGAGAAAGCGACAGGAGTAGCAACCTGTCGGACGTCAAAGCGGATATACGGGCGGGATCGAGTGTCAGCAACGCGGAGAGCGTGACAGCGCTTGACAGCGAGGGCGAAGGAAGCACGAGAGGTGTGAACGCTTTGGCGCTGGCTGGCCCGGTACCCAATCCCCTGGGTTATCGTTACAGCGCCGATTACACGGAACCTTCGTTCCCGCCGAAGAACAACGTAAGTACTAGGCACTAGGTCTGTAAACCTGCATTGTTCCTCCTCGTCTCGCGTTCGAACCTACGAATCGCGTATGCACGACCGACAAAATTTCTCTGTTCGCAATCTCGCGCAACTCGTTTCGCACTCGAGCGGTAGGATGCCAAGAGCCGGAGCCCGAGCTTAATCTAGTTTATTGCGCGGGGAAGAGCAGCCAGGAGTGCATATTAAAGCGTAGAATCTCTCTCCGGGGCATGGACTCTACGAAGCAGATCGCGTAGATTTAATTTGCAGTTTTTTTTTTTTTTTTTTTTTTTTTTAAAGAATCCTCGATATCTTCGCCGCGTGGAAGAACATTTGGAATTCGACCGACGACTTCCGATCCCTGGGCAGCGAAGACCCCTAATTTTCGTACACACTGAACGAATTATAAGTCGTCGAAAGCCGAGAGAACGTTGTTGGTGCCGACGTCGACCGGGTCGACGAACGTCTTGCGGGTCGATGCGGCCACCTCGCCAGCGTCGCCAGCGTCGGGAGAATTAATTTTATATGACGCGTTTCGTCTCTCGTCTCGCCTCTCAAGTCCGTGGCGTAGAACACGGGAAGTTTTCGATCGCTGGCCACGCTCTCCGCGATATCTAGCCTGCCCCGAACTCCAACGAAGAGAGCAGCATTCTTATTAAGATATTACGTGTGCGCTAACGTTTCCCCTTTCCTTTCGTCTGTTGCAGGACGGCAGTAACAACAATGGTTACGTGCCGTACGTAGACTACACCCGCGACTATATGCCGCCCACGACGCAGGGAGTAGGTGCGTCACGGGAATCCTTAAGCAGGATACCGTCTGGCGGTATACTAGCTTCAAAGAAGATCGGTCTGAGTTCTGCGAATTTGGGCACCTCGACTCCGCAAACCACCCCCGCGATCGACCCACGTTTCTCAGCAACGTACGGCAACCCCTACCTCAGGTAAACTTCTCAGAAGGATTTGGCTTCTCTGCCGCACCGTGCGCCGTCCCACAGCTATCAATGAAACTCATCGCGCCTCTCCACCCTCTCCCCCTTCCCCCCTCCTCTGTGTCATCCAGCCCGCAATCTAGTTCGACGCTTTGGATAATAGAGGAAGCTTTGACCAACTGTAATTGTGTTTTGCCGCTGTAATCCTTACAGCGGTGGCGCGCACGAATTGCACCGAAGACGATCGAATTATAGCCGGCGAACGTGATATTCCGCGAATCGATTCCAGACGAAAGAGACATCCGTCGCAAAATATGGAGTTCAGAGGAGGGCGGGCGCAGTTCAGGGGATAATAAAAGGGATGGCACCGTTTTTTCGGAGAACATCCGCTCCGTGAACGTACGCGTACGCGTTGACATTGTAATATTTACGACGTATTGATCAACGGATTTGCCGCGCCGCGTGTGCAATCGTTTCCACGGATTAATTATATTTCGCGTAAATTATGAATCGTCTGTCTTGAATATTTATAACGGGTCGATTCGAACGTGGGAGGGGGGAAGGAGGGGTGAGGGGGAGGGGGTCTGGTCCCGTTTAATATTAATCGAACAAATCCGCCGGGTCGGTTCGCTCCCCCTCCGTCAACAATACCTCCGCACGAATCCCGTGAGCGTACCGGTCGGCTATAATCACGGCATTTTTCACCGTAATATCCATCACGCGATGAGAAATATTGTTTCTGAATGGTTCTTTCCCTCTGCCGAACAATAGAATGTCAGCGGCGGAGCAACTGAGACACGCGCCACACACGGCTGTGCCGGGAGTAACGCCAGCACCACCGCCCTACACGCAAGCAATGAGAATGAATAGCTTGAATACCTTGAACGGTGCTGGACCGCAGGTTAGTACAATGCCAGTGAATGTGTGTCGAATTCCGTAGACGGAGTTACGACATCTCAGGTACATTCCAACGCTCACCTGAACTAGTTTCCAGATCTTAGATCGAGATCTTGCGCGCGAGATAGTTGCGCAATCCGATCGATTGCCCGACGTAATTTGTAATTCTTTTAACGTTTAACGCCGCCGTAACTTTGTCGTTCGAACGTTACTTATGTTCACGTTCCCCTGTGTTCCCCTGTGTGTTCCACTGGGGGAGAAGTCGATCGAGCGCGAAGGCAGCCACGCTAATTTCCCGTAATGTTTTGACGATCTTGCAGGCACCACTCTCGGCGCACTACATCACAGGCGGGCCAAACGGCGGTGTGGCGACGGTGAAGCGCACCTCGGCGGTAGGGACGTTAGCGACGCACGTATGAGGCCAGGGGGTCTATCCGAACTAGAACCATCGACGTTCGGGTCTAACTGGTGCCGCCTTCGAGAACCGTCGAGCCATCGAATGGACTCGCCGCTCGAGCACGCTCAGGTCGCGTGAACAGTTTCTCGCCGAGAGTTTAGGGAATAGAGAATACCATGCTTGCCACGGTCGCGTCGAACTGGAGGATCATGATGTCGTTCGAGGGGCTTCCGCGGTCGCGCGAGCGCCGGAAGTCGAACGATTGCTCGGTGACGGAAGGTCGAGGAGGAGGGACGAGGCAACGAAGAAGTTTCGGGTGAAGGGACGTGCGCAACGAATGGCCGAGAACGGCGAAGCGTTGAGGTACATCGAGATGGTGCTGCGGCAACTGCGAAGGGCCAGCCGCGATCATCGGCAACTCGTGGAGCAGCGTCATCGGCTCGTCCAGCCGTTCCCCGCGTCTTCGACGATCGACGAGTACCATTCGAACGGCGGGCCGGCCGTTCAAAGTTTCACGATCCCACGCGGGAAGAGCGGAGTGGAGCGGATCGTTCGTGACATCTCTCGGGACACGGTCGAACGGCTGCAAGTGGAAGTTGAGACAAGCGAGGAACCGCAAGAGCTTGCCGAGTATCCCGGCGTGGACGTTACGAAGAAACTGTCGGCGAAGAGGAAGACGTACGCGAGAGGCATTTACCTGCTGGAAACGATGCCCAGGAGGATCCACGAGAGGATGAGCGTGGCAGGCCGACAGGGTCTACGATACGTTCCTGCTTACGAAGGAATTGACACTACGATTATTCAATGAATATGCTACGAGCTACTGGCAGAAGACGACGCGGGCTTTCACGGAAACGCACGAGATTGTTGGAGAAGACAAAGAGTTTGGCCGAAAGAAACAATGCTCGTCGCGCCTACAGGCTATTATGGATATGGAAAGATCGAACCGATGAATGGAAATAGAGTATGCCGATCGATCTAGTGGAAAGGAGCAGAGATAAGGATCGAATTGATGGCGAACAACAGTGGTAACGACCGGTCGAGAGCCTGTCACATAGGATCGATCAGCCTTGACTACGCGTGCTATTTCATTTAAGAAGACTGAACCGAGAAGTAAGAAAAAGGTTCCTTCGTCGACTCGGGAACACAGTGTATTTTTCTCTATTCAACTTTGTACATCGAAGAGATCGGACTGAAAGGAAGGGCGTTGTCGTGAATGTCACAGCAATACGTTCGACGTGATATCGATGGAAATCCACCAGAAAGAAACAAACAAACAAAAAAAGAAAAGAAAATAGAAAAAGAGAAGAGAGAGAAACGACGATCATCGGAAGTGGTGGTAATTCGAGGATTAACGCGAGGAACGAAGGACGGTGGTTAGGTTCGTAAGTCGAAGGAGCTCTTCGGAACGAGAACAGACCACTCGGTATCGACAATCTTTTATTCGCATACTTATATAGATCTCGATAAGCATTTAATGTTCATTCGAAACGTAACGAAAGAAAAAAAGGAAGGAAAAAAAAAAAGAAGAAGAAGAAATGAGACTCGAATCTCATCGCGAACCGTTGTGATCGTAGTAGCAGTCTCCTAAACGAGAAAAAGCGCCACAAAGTGGACAGGAGAATAACGAACATCGAATTAAATGTGCTTCGTACGGATACGCGTTTTTTTCAACATGTGATACGTAGACGGATGTCCAACGTCAGAGTGACGTGTCGAACACGACGTGAGATCGTTAGATCGCGTCGGCGAATACGGGCGGGGCAAAACGTCTCGGCTGCTACTTCGACGTCACGCTGTGTCGCGCTGCCTTTTTTCATTTGTAGGAAAAGAAATATATGTATTAGGTATCGCGCAGTATTCGCAAGTTGAGCACGCTAAACGAAAGAAAACTATACTACGGGACGGATCGTGCTGCTTGTCTGACAAGATCGATCGCGATCTCGTGTCTCCTACCGGCCTGAGGATTTTCAATCGTGCGAGAAGAACGCGTGTTTCGAAAGCGATCCACGGGCCGACCTTTGTAAAATAGATAGCTAAAATGATTAGATATATACATATATAGATATATCACCTGTTGTCAATACGAACATAGGGCCTATAGTTTGGTGGCGCTACGAAAAAAGCAAAACTCTATCGAAATAAGCTCGTTCTTACGGATGGGAACAGCTTCGTGTAAATAATATTATAACGATATTAACTGATAGACGATCGAGCGGAGGAAGTAACGTTAAATATAATTAGTCGCGCGTCTCCTATCGAGGGA